AAAGGTTTCCCCCCCCCCCTTTTTTTTTTTTTAACTCTTCAGCGCTCAGCAGTTTAATTGGTATGCAGATGTTCCCCTTTATTGCTGGCAGAGGCCTCTGTCACTGTTCTGAAGGTACTCAGACATCAAGGCTGGTACAGTGGGCAGGAAGAAAGCCCCCCTGAAGGCTTTCAAGCTTTGTGGGAAATAATGATGTATGAGACAGGGATTCCTTTGGAACCTGAAGGGAACATGACAGACAGAATAATATGGGAGGAAAACATTGTCTTCACAATTGAGACTGATGGTCTCATCTTGTCTCCTTGTTATTGTTACCAACCAAGACTGAGATGAGCTTTCTTATGAAGAACTTCATTTCGTGGCAGGTTCTATATGTTGGACACACTGCGCTCAGTGGTAGCTTTCCATCCAAGGTACAGATATTGACAGGCTCTGAGGAACCCTTTGGGGTCGTGTTTTAGCTTAAAACCTAAAATTCCTTCCAGCATTGAGATGCATTTTGTCAGGAATGACAGTTGCAATTTGATAATCTTTTACCACTTTGCCTGCCTTTCTCAAACAGCTAGCTGGAGGGGAGAAACCCAGAGCTGTTGGGCACAGGAGTGTCAGCTTTATGAATCAGCTTTTCTCGCACTTTATTAATTTCACTTTCCAGTGGTTAGTGCATGTTTGCAAGAGGCAATTGATTTGTACGGATCTGTGTAGGATGGAGCAAAGCTGGAACTAAAGGAGGAGTGCAAGTTGACAGCAATGCAATAGCTCTAATTGACAGATACCAAAGGCACTATTTAAAGCAACTTTTCTTCTGCTGTTTAGGTTAAAAATGGCCCTCAATTTGTCCTCCGATTGCCATGTTCAAAAAGGTGTTTTCATGTATATTCATTTCAAATGGATTAGCTGAAATATCAAGTGCTCATTTTCTATACTTGTATTTTCAAGTTAGATGATTCAAAATGCTGTTGTGCAAGGTATAGGAAGATGGCTGTTTCTTAACTCCTCCAGAGTAAAAGCTGTCTTTCAGGGGACGCTTTGCACATGGGAGATTTGTGTTAGTATTTTCTGGCACCCACAGTTTCATCAGAAATGCATTTCAGCTAATGGGAGGCAGAAGGACTAATACACATGCTGCATCTTGTGGGTGCAAAAATGCAAATAGAAATTACACCCACCATGGAAAGGGCTAGGAAAATGTACCTTCCTGGATGTGAGCAGGGCAGGTTAGGAAACATCATCTTCCTTTTACAATTGGCTGTTACTCTTTACATTTCTGAAGAACTGGGATCTTGCTGTTAATCTTACAAAAATAGATGCTGTGGTGAAGCCTCAGGCATGAATAAAATTGGATGTTAATCTTAAAGCAGATTTTTTACAGCTATGCACTCAGAGCCAGTGAATCCAAATGATTTTGGAAACTCTGTTTGTTACTTATTTAGATCAAAATACCGTGGGGAAAGAGGTCAGTGGCACAGGTACATATTGTAACATTTGGGGCTCCTTAAAGTTGAGCAGATAAGCGCAGCAAACATTAAACATCTCTGGCTTGACACAAATAATAGGCAAAGCTGAAAAAAGCCTGCTGACAAGAGGAGTGGGTGTTGGTGGGTGACTTGCTGCAGTTTTAGAGCTGTTAAGTGTAGGTTTTTTAGCATTTTCATTATTTAAAAGTGGAGTGGTAGTTTCTTCACTCCCTCTGAAAAGTTACTAATTTACTCTGAAATACAGGGTAACCCACAATGATTTAACAGATTTGTAATGTTCTTTAGAGTGATTTCAAGTAAGACACCCTCCTTCTCTCCAAGCTTCCCACTGTCTCAGCTCTGCCCTTACTCCTTTCTTTGTGTACATCTGCACCGAAATGCAAAGCAGGGGCTGTCCCACGTGTGACTTTCATCTGTCTAGCTCCAGTGTCAACAGGTTGGGCGGCTTTGACCGCTGGTGCTCATGCAGGTTTGCCTCGTTCCCGGTATTCAGAAACAGAGGCTGATTTAGCTACGTTCAGATGTTGGGAATGGCATCATAGTGTGGAGTGGTTCAAAAGCTGCTGCTCTGCAGGTACTGCTGCAAGCAGACAGGCCTTCCTTAGAGTAGCCCTGACGTGCAGAGGCTGCCTTTCGCCTAGTGCGTGGAAAGTGCCTAGTGGAGCATGGCTGAGGACCGTGATTAAAGTCCCCAGGATGCTCCTGGAATACAAGCAATATTAAATAATCTGCACTCCTCTGTGACTGATTCAGAGAAGGCAGCTGAGTTGTGTTCCCAAGGGGCTGTCCAACGAGACAGGCAGCCGGCAGGGATGGGAGGTGGTCAGGGGATTTTCACCGGTTGTCAAGCTGAACAGGTCTCAGCTCTCTCATGCTCCAGCCCATTTGTGCCTACATATTGCTGTGCTGAATAACCATGCCTGTGGCAGGATGCTTAAGCCGGAGGCCCCTTGCATGAATAATATTTAAATTTGATGGAGCCTCGCTGAGAAGGAGCTGGCCTTGCATTTACTCAGAGAGGTCTCTGGTGGTTTGTGGTAAGGAATTGGGACCTGGGGCTGAAGCCACAACCTCCAGGACTTAACCACAGAATTTACACAATGGCCAAAGCTTGTCCATTTGCCTTCCCAGCTGAAGGTCTGTGTCACCGCACATCTGCTGCTTTTCTGTCTGCTCTTGTCATTGCTGTTTGAGGGAAGAATCTATTTTGTTCAATATAGCAATGTTGTCTAGCTTAGTTTAATTTTGTTAGCTGCTGCTGATTTGTTACTATTCAGTGCATCCATGGGTTTGTTTAGTATCAATAACCAAGGGTAGAAATACTTGAATGGAAAGCTAGATGGAAATGCTGAGACTCTGGAGGACTCCAGGGTTTCTTTTGATCTTCTTTGTTTCCCTGTTCTAGGAGGCCTGAAGAACACTTACCCATTTGTAACAGAAACTATTCACGACGCACGGGCCTGAAAGGTCACTGTCAGTTACTATTGCTTTTCTGGTGTCACTGGTATAGATCACGTCTTCTAGCAAACTTTAAGGAAGAAAGCTTTTGTTACAAGGAGAGACGGTAAGTTTGTGCACCCAACCTCTATTTGGAAGAGTATTTTGTTGTGAAACCTTTCTTCTTCTGGAGGCTTGAGCCAACTGCTTTTGATCTGGGAGCTTACAATGTGGGTAAGTGCGACCATATTAGTCTGGATAGATGTCACCCTCAGGGATTCGCACACATAACTCTCCTTGACTTGAACTGGAGAAGGGCCAGAGTTTGTTCACTTTCACTTTCTGTCACTGAGAAAAATTATTGCTGTTCTACAGAAGCTATAATTTCTTCCTTTCTTCCCAAGTAGATGATGACTAAAGAAGGCCTGAACTGAGTATAGATACTCTTATATTTACTTGAAATGAATGTAGCTCATAACTCTTATTTTAGCACCCATCTGGAACACTACTGTGAACAGATTTACAATGTCTGCCTGTTCCTTACCTTAGCATTCTGGCATTTATGCTCATTCTTGCACTGATATTTGGGAGTTTAATGAAGCCAAATGTCTGACAGGTGAGTAGGTAAAAAGTAGATACTTTCATATACAAACCTATTCCTTTTGTGTGCTCCATAATCTTTTAGTTCTTAAATCTTCTTTTAGTTCTTAAATATGGTTTTATTCTTCTGATACTAAGGGTCTCGGCACTGATTTTTCTTCTGGTATGTGTGTCATCAGCAGAGTTATTAGCTGCGTTCCAGTTGCGTGGTCCTTTGTTGCTGGACTGAAAAGATCTACTAACTTCAACCGTGTGTTTTTAGACTAGACACTTACAGAAAACCTTTACTGTGTTTATAGAAGAGCAGATTTAATCTGGAAGTCATTGAGGGAAACCAATAAAGAACTTCCTTGATGTGATTTTTGGAGTTACTCTGTGGAACTGAATTGCATGTTTTCAGGTATTGGACATAAGGGCACTTGAAAGCATAAAGAAGGTTAAGTGTAGATGATAATGAAAATGTTACCGGTATTTATAGGTCGGTCGATAATGTCAGTATATTAAAGTGATGTGAAATATCTCTTTGATTTCATGGACAGTGCCTTACTGTATATAGTTTACTGTTATAACACGGTCCTTGGTATACATTGATGATAAGTTTAACTTTTTATAAAGTTTGTTAGTAATCCAATTGCCTTGAAATGCCTTGTGAAAAGTATGTTTATTACAGAACACATACAGTTGCTATCTGCCTAGTGTTATCTCTGTTATAGAGACCTAAGCTAAGAAAACACATTTGGAAAAAACATGTGCCAAGCAGAGATGGTTGGGGGTTTTTTTTGTTAGACTTCCTGGAAACATTCATCAACAGTTGGAGATGTGGTCTTTCAACTATATTTTTTTCACCCAGATTATACGCAAATTGCAAGATTCTTCAAGTGTAAAGTCGTATGCCAGGAGTATGATATTAGCGTTTCTTTTAAGTAGAATAACTTTGGAATAAGTACCTTGTCCGGTGAATTGCCTTCCTTGTCATTCATCACTGCATATCATCTTTGTAGAACTGCAGTAACTGGAAGGAAGGAAAATACTGGTAAGTGTTTCTGTAATTGGAGCTGGGTTTGGCAGAGAGTTCTGTCTTTCTGGAAAAAAAAATGCTGGTTTTGGTTCTTTACTTTGCCATCTCCTTTTTGTGTTGTTGTGTATTGGAATAAAAGAATAAAGGTGAGCACTAGATGAGCTGTGAATTCCCTTTGGACCAGACTTTGGGAATCTCTGCTCTGACACACATTTCGGTGCTACTTTTTCTTGGGGGACATAATTCACAAAATATTAGAACATATTCTTCCAATAAGATTTTGCATAGTTTGATAAATGTTTGGATAAATTTCATACCGTCTTATCAAAGTAGACACAATAGTTCTTTCTTGAGGAACTGAGCTTAAATGAAACGCTCATTTATGTTGGTGGGATAATAATTAAAATGACAGATCCAAATCAGTGGTTTATTATTTTGTTGCAGGAGTAGGCTGAATCAAAGCCTCTGTCAACAATTAGAGCTGAAATACTGAATTAACATACCGAATAGTATCACATCAGGAGTATAGTCTTCTACTCGGGACAGTGTTGAGATGTACCTTGCTCATAGAAGCTCTGGAAACGTTGTGAGACTTGGACAAACACACCGCATTCTCGGACTGCAGGGATGTTGCTGCTCTCCGAGCACTGCACACTCTGAGTATGTTCTTGGCTGATGGAAATCTGCCCAGTATTGAGGGAGCTTGATGGTATGGGAGGCAGTCACAGCTGCTCTATTAGGATGGCTTAACACTTTCTTGTGGGCCAAGATACAGGCTCTGTTCTCTTTTGCACCTGCGAAACTGGTATAATATTAATTAGATTGTCATCAGGTTTCATTAGCGAAGCCCCATAAAACAAAAAAGGAATGGCTCTATAGTGATGCTAAAACTTGGTATGTTGTTTATATTAAGTGGGTGAGCAGAGATCAGTAGCCATGAAGACACTGCTTTTCCAGAAATATGAAATATTTATGTAAAATATCTAGGTAAAATCTGAACAGAAATTTGATTATTGCCTGCTAAAATGGTGACCTCTTCCCTTCTAAATAGGTTCAATTCTCTTCTTGATGAGACCCCTGCACCTTCACCCAGATTCCTCCCCGGGCAGCCATGGATCTGACCACCGAGGGAATCTGGCCCACTGAATTCCTTTTCTTTCTGTGCAGTTGAATGAAAAGTGTGTGTCTTTTGAAGAACAGTGACTGAAAGAAATATTGATGACTGCCAGGATATCTAGAGAAAAGGATAAGAAAATTACTCTACTACAACAGGGAAGACAAAGGAGCTTTGTTAACTCTTTCTTGTAGGTTGTATATATTAATAGTAACAACTAAAGTTTTGTATTTTTTCAGAGAAACACACAAGGCTTTGAATTGTATTGTTTTAATTGCAGCTAACTGAATGAATTAAGTGGAAAATCGCACACAGTACTTTGATTGTCTAACTCTCTATATGTGAAGCTTTGGGAACAGTTTGTTATTATAAAAGAACAGCACTAACAAGAACTCAGCCAACATGTAATTGCTAGGCTGAGGGGCAGTTTGGGGAAAGCTGTTGTTTATTTATAAATTATTAAATAAAAGCACATAATATGTGGATCATCTCTCACTGCCTCCACACTTCATACATTACTCATCTTCCTAAATTTCATGTTCTTCAGGACATTGCTTCTTATAACTGGTGCAGGCATCAAAACCACCCACATCCAGGAAAGAAGATGCCCATGCATTTGTTACGATGGCAGCTTTGGTTATGGGACTCATCTAAAAGCATGAGCCTTCAGTTCAAGGAAAGGACTCCTGACCAGACTTTTAAAGGTTGTTTTATGTGCCTAAAATACACATGAGCACCTGGGACTTTGTTCAGGTAGCCTAAACTCTGGCCAGTGTTTCCTACTGACTAGGTACCTTTGGAGATTTACAGCCATCCAATACCCTAAACAGAAGGACTTAAGAGCAATTTAGGTATTAAATTTAGCAGGATTCTCAAAAAACATTGGTTATATAATTCGCATCAGTTTCGGTAAGAATGATTGTCCCTTATGCTTCTCTCTGCACACTTAGTGCCTTACTACCTTGGGAAACGCAGCCACTTCACAAGACACAGAGAGGAGGTGGATGGTGGTTGGACTCACCAAGAAGGTGGAACGGTACTTCATCCTCAATGTTTTTGGCTACCAAATATCTATTCCAGCTCTCCTGGGGGATGGAGCTGCTATTCTTTCCTTCAGCATAGATTAGTGGGCTTTTTTCTAGGAGAGCAGAAGTAACTATTATTGTTGGCCCAGCTCTTCACAGCTGTACACCGTTTCCTCTCATTTCCAGGCAAGAGCCAATAAACTGAAATTATTAGGGATTAGCGCTCCAAGGCTTTCTAGCTGTGTGGGAAGAGCATTCTCCCCTCCACCTTTCCCTTGGCAGCTGAGGAGATGATTTCTGGGGACATGCACAGCCCAGGTTCCTTGCCTTGCTGCCCTTCTTGAGGAGCAGCAGTAGGTGCTGGTGGATGTGGCACTCGCGGTCAGGTACATAGGGCAACCAATAATAGTCTCTATTTCAGAGGACCCAGTTGCAAACCAGGTGTATTGACACATAAGCAGGTCCTCACGTGCCCACGTAACAAGGGGGTGGGTAATGTTCTGGCCTTGCAAGAGAGATACGTGTCCTACAGACTGAGAGCCCCTTGGCGTTCTGCAGCGGAGGGCCTGGGGATGGAAAGATGTGCCATCACCTGGGTAGCTGGCACTGCTGGACACATCTTTGGACTCACTGTGCTGCTATATACAGATGACGTTTGTGCTGTACAAACAAATCACGCTATTAAACCACTTAAACACTGTTTATGCAACTTTAAAATGGTGAAGGCTTAATTTTATGACTTCTTCTGCACGGTTGTTAAAAATTCTGTGTCCACACTGAAGTGATGTGAAGATTATATCGCTAATACTGGCTTACCAACCTAGCTGATGTGAGACTATGTTGCGCAGAAGGTGCTTGAGAGGCAGAACTGGGCAGAGTTTAGCTTTGCACAGCTCTTGCCAAGAGTTGCTTGGTATCCCTGTCACTGTTTTTTGAAGTCCAAAAATATTTTCCCCCAAATAACCTATTTTTCTGCAAGAGAACACAGCTGCATTTATGAAAGTTCTTGGCTTTTACAGTAAATCTGGTTTGTATAGTTTCCTCTCTATATGTATGTTGCCTGCATAATAACCAACAGTCATAATGAAAAGCACAGCTTTGTTACATGAGCTTTCAACAGTGGTTTTCAGTAATTTAGAAAATATTGGAGCTGCTTCCAACAAAGGAAAAAATCAAAACAAAGCAGCTTTGAAAATGTTGATATACTCGGGGAAATAAATCTTCATTTTTAACCCTGTTCTGTTATTCTCTCTCTGATACTAAAACCCATATAAAGCACTGTTGATTTCAACCAGCTCAACAGGAGATAGTGTAGGGCTTCCATCCTGCTCTGCCCTGCATTGTGGGGGGTAAATCTTGGAGCTGCTTCCAACAAAGGAAAAAATCAAAACAAAGCAGCTTTGAAAATGTTGATATACTCGGGGAAATAAATCTTCTTTTTTAACCCTGTTCTGTTATTCTCTCTCTGATACTAAAACATATAAAGCATGCTCTGCCCTGCATTGTGGGGGGGAAATCTTGGCTGTGGTCCCGTGCAACCTTTGGCTGGGGTTTATGCCCCAGCCTCTATTCAATGCTACGTGCACTGCAAAAGCTGTCCTCGCTGCGAGAAGTAACTCACCTTCACTGCACCTCTTTTTCCGGCAGGACGTGGGAAAGTTGCTGGATTAAATTCTCCTCGATCACGAGACTTCTTGTATTAGAGGCACTCAAACTATACGGCCGTTCAAACCCCTGTTGAGTTCACAGTATTTAAAGATAAGAGCACAGTATCGCCAAGAAATGTGTCTTGTTGAGGCTCACGAACAAATTTATCAAAAGAAGGAATCTTATTTTTGCCTGCAGCGGGTAGAGGGTGCATCTCAAAGCAGCCCAAAGTTAAAGATAGATATAGCGTCTGGTTCAGATCACGATATGAAGAAAGATTCAAGTTAATTAGTATTTATTCTTAGTGTATAGTTATTCCTTTTGGCTTGAGCTAACAGGCAGGAGTTGGAACCCCACAAGGTTGCTTCTCCTGGGACGAGAGATGAATGAGAGATGGTCTCGGTGCTGAAAATGTATTTAGGGATGGGAATGTCTCTAAGGAAGACTGGCCATTGCCCCTGGGCTCTGTCAGCTAGCAAGGAGGGTGCTCTGAGGGACGGCTCAGCGCAGGCAGGGAGGATCGGGTGTAGGCATGGACCGAGGCGTCCCAGAGGGCCATGGAGAAGGGGAGGTGTCCCAGGTCCCTCCTCGACCCAGTCCCCTCACACCTCCATGCCCACGTGACCGCCGCCTGCTGCCTGTTGCCCTTTCTGTGTGTTTTCTGCCGCAGGGAGCGGTTGCGCAAGGGCAAGCCGGCTGCTGGCCAGCTGCCAGCCTGTGGAGAAGGCGGCTTTGCAGAGCCCCTCCAAGACTTTCAATTCCCCTTTCTTGCCACTGTTTTCTGCAATGCCACATGGGCTCTACCAGCAACACCACCACAGCTTGAGTGCAGCCATTTATCTTAAATGGAGCTGTTTTTTTCCTGAGGTCTCCCCACTGCTCCTGCAGCTGGGAGGGGCCCACCTGCCGGAGACCTGGCTTGGGACCAGACCTTCACGTTTTTGCAGCTCCCATTTTTCATACATTTTTTTCGCCGTCGGTGTTCAGCTGGCGTTGAGATGTTCCTAGCAGGATCTCCTGTGTACTTGGGCAGAGTGCCCCTTTTCCAGTAACTGCACGGACTGTTTTATTCCCTCAGGTGCTTGCAGAGAAGTTAATTTCTATTTTGGGGGGAATTTTCTGGCTTTGCAGGTGCGCAGGTCCAGTGGCCCAGGGAAAGGCAGCCCCACGGTGGGCGGGCTCTGGGCCTCCTGCCCTGCAGCCATAGGGCAGCACCTCTCCTGCTCTGCAGCATGATTGGCGGGGTCCTCCCAGCAGGCGGGGCTGTTGGTATAAAAGGGCTGCGGATGTGGTACTCCTCTCCTGAGGGGCTGAGGAGATGGTGGTTGGTTTGTGGCTGCCTTTGGGCTGCTGTCAGGGCTCAGAGCATGGTGTGGATGCAGCCGTGGCCGGGCAGCCTTCGCCTTGAGGGTGCGGCTGCACAGGCACAGCTGGAGGCCAGGCAGTGTATGTAGATTTGTGACTCTCCCCTATGCTCCTTTCTGGAAACATTTGCTTTAAATTCTCAACAAAATCTAAGTTCAATTATCTTAATGTGCTTTTGGCTGTCCTCCTCCCCTGCCTGCGCTGTGGAGGAGCTGAGGAGGTGCTGGCCCCTCCTGGCCACCTCAGGCGGGCCGCTGAGATGAGGCTGAGTTTGAGGGCCTTACCAACATTTCTTTTTACAGGGACTTCACTGAGAAGATACTGGGTTGAATAGAGCTAAAATAGCATAAACTGTGTTTTTGAATGCAAGTTCACTTGCAGAGGGGTAGGAAAGGACTCCCAAACTTGCACATAAGCAAAACAGATGGTAATTCTGCTTCTGGAGAGACTACTGAGCAGTGAGCTCCAGCCTCAGAGCATGGTGCTATGCCTTGCAAAACTTTGGTATTGCTAGCTCCTCAGCAGTCTGCAGCAGCCAAGCAGGAGCCTCAGTGGACAAGACTCATTGCTTTTAGCACATGAAAATCCTAAGTTTAAACCAGACCACGTATAGTAAATGCTAAGAGCACCCATTTCAGGGATTCTTGTGCCATTATAAAGAAACTACTAAAAAAAGAAAAGCAGGATTATGCTTTGTTGCTCACTTAATTATGGAAGTCTTGTTATGTCCTGCTGTGGTGGTGATAAAGGCCTATTACCAAGGCTAAATCCAAATTAGATCAGGTGTTTTCCATGTCATTGTAGTCTTCTGTGTCAGCTGTTTTAGCAGTGCAGCAAAACATTTGGGACAAGCAGCCCATGAGAATTTGCCCATGTAGGTATGTAGATCCTCTGTTGACTTTGGCCACAACTTACTGTCAGCATGGCATCCTTATACTGCTCTTATGTATGTGAAGGTGTGGACAGATGGCCTTGGAGATTATTAAGCTGATTTAAAACTGGCTTTGTTTCCTCTCTTCCTGCTCCCTTCCCCGCTCTTTAATTAAATGACTGAAATGTGTGTTCAATAAATGCCTACAAATTGCCTCTGTCTTTTGTTTACCCCCAGAAAGAAGAGAACAGCACTCCTATTTGTTACCTGTGTGATGGGAATGTGAGGACAACTATGAATCCGCAGCAAACTCCAAGCTGTATGGCAGCTACAGGTAAGCTCAGAAATTAAACTGTTACTGTGGAAAGCACAAAGCTTGGAAGCAGCTTGCTCTTGCTCTTTGTGTTGACTACTTGAAAGTAAATACAAGTGTATAGTTATACAGTTCTCTGAGCTGTTGTCTCAGGCTTTCTACAGATTCAGGAAGACTATATTGAATGTTGGTAAGTTGATACTAAAGAGGATATGGTTGAGTTC